TTTCTGTAGTAACCAAAATGTCACGTATTATATGCTTTACGATTGGGACCAGCAAACACACCCTATTTGTTATATTCACAGAGTTTCGGCTACTGTGTGATCCAGCCTTCTTTTATGCATATCACTGAAATAGATGTTGTTTTGGGAGTTTTAAACCGAACACTTTATTCAATCCACAGGACTAGATTGTTCTCTTTCTGATTTTCAGGATTAGGGCGGATAACTCATTTCAACTAAAACTCGCTAGTTTTATTCACCTGTGTGTTGTTTGTTCGTTTCTACCACTGAACCATAATAAGTGATTTTTTTCAGGACTACCAGAGCTAAAGATTGACTTCACATTGCCTAGTAGATTAAAACTGTCATGGGTTTCAGCCTTTTTTTTCTTTTCAAAAATGTTGACGCGTTAAACTCATTTAAAAAACCCGACCCCCCCCCAAAAAAAAATACAGGGGTAATATTTAATTTTTCAGCGCGCCATACGTCGCTACCGAATGTAACACAAGGTTAGTTTAAGTCCAATATCTTGGGGAAAAAAAATTGTTCAATCCCCGTCGGCCCTTCCCCTTTTAGGGACGCCTAAAGTGCCGGGTAATGACCCCAGCCCCCTCCCGAAGCAGTGATACTGCTTGGGGGGGTGCCCTCCGAGGCTTGAGCTTAATATTATTTTGGAACTATTTCAGCTGAAACCCCGGGGCGGGGGGAGTATAAAGCAAGTATAATATATTTGTTTCGCAACACACTGACACGCGTTGAAATCCTCACAATATTTTGTATGGTTGAAATTATCGCTAACATTTTTGTCGAGATTTAAAAACATTACTTTTCGTTCAATTTCGCATACCAATCGATGAAATTTGAATAAGCTGATTTGTTTGGAAAATACTTTGACCAAAAGCCCGACTTCGCGGTTTAATAATTAAATTAAATTAATTTAACTTAATTTTATAGGACTTCATGTTAAACAATATTTTTTAAGAAAACTTTTTTTTTCCTTTTGATCAGCGAAGAATAAATACTTAGGATTTCTTACTCTTGGGCATGCAGCATACAACTGGCCACGCGTAAATATTTCTTTCTGGAGACAATGCCAACTTTTTGAAGCATTTGGTCTTAAGATTTATTTATAGTTCTCGAAAAACTCAGGGCGAACTGAGATTCTGAGAAACTGGATATATATATGTAAAACTTGAGAAAAAAAGAAAAGATATGCAAAAAAGAATATTGCATTTTTATTAAATAAATACTAATTTAATCATTAAATTGTTTGTAAATTAGTGGGAGTATTTTGTATGTTAAATAATAAAAGTTTTAATTTTTCAAAAAAAAAAAAAAAAATGAATGAAAATTTATTGTACTTTGTACCCCATTTCCTGTTTGTACTTCTCCCCAAAATTTGGTTTCGATCGGTAAGTATATGGTTATTGTGTGACAGACGGACGGACGAACGAAAGCCACAGCCATTTTATGTATAAAATAAAGACAGTCATGTGAATAGTTTTTCCTCATTTAAACTTATTTATTTTCTAATGGAAAAAGTTTTTTTTTGATAAAAATAAGAAAACAAAACACTTTCAAAATTTAAAAAAAATGAAAATATTTTTTTCTTTTTACATTTTTCAAAACAAACATCTGTCGATTTGCTTAATAAAAAATCTCAGACATTCAAATATATTCGTAATTTTTTCATGGATAATAACAGGACATTGACTAAGGTTAATCTCGTAATTGTAGCACAAATTCACTACATTAACAATTGTCTGTGATGAGGCTTCTTTAAACCATCTGTTATCGCTTTTGTTGGGATTTTCTATCCTTGACAAGTGATTAGCTGAAACGCGACGCCATTTGCACTTGATGTTTTGTTCATATTGTCACCTGAGTTAAGTCATTATACTTGTAATCTATTCGAACTATTGTTCTCAACTTGATTATTACAGATGGTATTATAGAAACAAAGTTTCGGTCAAGTACACTCTAGACATCTTCAGTCGTCTGTTTTTGAGTTGATATCTGTCGATAATTGCGTTATTTTGCCCCTGTGATGCCAGTTCTTGTATTTTGGAGCCTTTATATTCATTATCAGATAGTTTCGACATTTGACTATCATGTGCTGTAAGCGTGGGTGTGCAGGTGGTGTAATGGATAACGGCTCGAAATTGAAAATCAGAGAGCCGAGTTCCAGTTCCAGTCGAGTTCTCGTTATATTTACTTACGCGCAAATACTATTGGGAAAGTTATAAATTCACTTTTTATACCCCCCGGCTATGGGTTAATTAGTAGGACATGCATCTGTAAATTATTATTATCTCTAAAATATCCATAGGATCTGAAAATATTTTCTGGCTTTAAAATAACCTACAAAAGCCGTAAAAAACCATGTCAATCAACTGGCTATCATGGCGAATTCAGTCCTGCTTAACCAGTGTATATTTTTTGTTGAACTCACATTGACTAAATGAAAACAACACATGATTAACCAATGCCTGTATCTACTACGCTATCGTCTCGAAGTACATCTGTGGTGTGTTTCTATTTCTTCTATATATGCCATGTCCCTCTAGGGTGTAGGCATCATGGCTCTCTACAATTTCCAGTCCTTCGTAGCTCTTAATAAATGTTGTCTTTTAAAAATTTTTCCTAAACCTTGTTCAGTCATCCAATATCACTAAACGTTGTTTTCCCTGTCTCTCTTGCCTTGAATCTGTCCTGTGAGTATCAGATTTTCCAAGTCTCCTTTCCTCATTATATGCCCTAGAAATGTCAACTGTCTCTTTCTGATGTTAAGTATATATAAGTTTCTATTTTATTTCCATTTTCTCTAAAACTTCGTCGTTGCTCACGTGTTCAGTCTATGGTATCGGGGATAAAACGCGCTGGCCGTGCATGGTATTCTCAGCATCCTTCTGTAGAACCACATTTCTCTTGCTCAAAGTCTCTTCTTCTCTTCTTCTTTGAGGAAATTGTCCAGCATTCTCTACCATCTAGGGGGACAGATATTACATCACAGTTCAGTATTCTTTTCTTTGCTTCTAACGACTTTTTTTTTTCTGTTTCTTAATACTTTGCTTAATTTTCGCTATCCCAATGCGCCTTCAGATTTCAATGTCATACTTTCATTCCTCTGTTAAAAACACTTTCCAGATATTTTAATTGCTGTACTTGTTTGATTTTGGTATTTCCAGTTTGTAATTTGTATTTTGGACTGTTCCCTTTTGCTGACAACCATACATTCTGTCTTCTTACAGTTGTTATGGAGGCTTTATATTCAGTATAAGATGGTTTCGACATTTGAAAAACATTCTGATAACAACAAACAAGATGAGGACAATAGTCTGCGTAAATAATTCGTGTTATTATTGGATAAAATCTACTTGAAAATGTGGGTGTATAATAGAACTACTTTTACAAATCTTGTAACAGAAAAACATATCTCAAAACGAGGCCAACTGGTGTGGAATATGTAAAACAACACTTTGTTTTGTTTTTTAAATTATGCTATGGGTTCGCAATTGAATAATTCATTGGGGTTACCTTAACTTTCGTACAAAGAGAGAAAATATAGGGCATCCAGTGAGGATCGAACTCACCATTAGAAATGATCAGCTTGACTGTGTTGTTAACTTTATGGCTAGGCGCTTATGTGACATTCGTATTATAACGTCTCTTGTGTTTGTCATGAATAAGTTATTGTCTTTGCTTTATTTAGCAATCTTAACATTCAGCTGTGTCGTACATTCACACACACACGGATCCTCCCCAACACACACGCGCACAAACACGCGAAAGCTCGCATACACACACGTTATTTGCGTTAAAAACAGCGAAAAACCTCGTGGTTGGAGCCTTGGAGACAAGGCAACAAATACGACATAACTCGTGGTGGGAGTCATAATAAAAACACCCAACCACGACTTATCTCGTGGGTGTTGAACTGGTAAAAGTTAACGTATACAAAACTACTGGACATATTTGAAATCTATTTCGAGAGTCGGGAAAAATTGTGTTTAAAGGAACTATTCTGGCTTTGCTATTAGGCACTGTGAATTTCTTTTGGAGATAATAATGGTTTAGTGATATAAGTCGTACTAATTAAATGAGAGCTGAGGGGGCGGGGAGAAGAGGTCAATTCAGACGTTTCCCCTAGGGTAGTTGTGCGTAAGTGAATATAAGGAACTTAATTGCTTAACTTCGGTAATCGTATGGAACCGGTATTTCAAGGAGAGGACACATCAAATTTAATTTTCTTGAGAGTTTTGAAGTAATAAAAATATAATATGTTGTTCTGCTTTCACAATTGTATACATGGTAGATGATACTCGGATTTATACATATACATGTTTGTGGACATCATTACTAGAGGCGGTGATATGTGAATTTTATGTTTTTTCAAGTTATATTTTAGAATAGAGTTTGATTTAAGAAATTGTAGCATATTATATGGATTAATGTTATGAAAGTTCATGTTGGTTGTTTGGTTGGTTTTATTTAGCGGTATATCAACACCTCTATGGGTTATTTAATTCCGAAATATTTTTAATGCAATTTTAGGGCTTCAACTAAATATTTTGAACGCAATTGTAGGCTTTCAACTCCTGATAAAATGTATTGTTGATTATGTATTATCGATTTTTTAAATAAAAATGTATTGCTGGTATTTTTACTATTAAAATGTATTTTTATATTTTCATAGTGTTTTTTTTTTGCGAGGGTGGGGGGGTCTCACTATTTGCCCATAGCTGGGATCCTAACAGACGGTGTGAGGGTGGACATGGGAACAACAGCAATTAAGAGGTGGTTCTAGTCTCGTAAAAATCTTCAATCTGCCGGATGTAGTTTATAGTCATAGCCAGGACTTCAAGCGTTATGTGTATATGCTTTTTTGTTTTTTGTTTTTTTTCTGTGTGTATGTATGTCCGTGCCTGCGTACGTGCGTTTGTGAATGTTTGATATTCATGACAAACATTTTTTTTTACTTACCTTTTTTTTCACTATTTCAGATATCCAGAATCAAATTAGGGTGAGTAAAAAATTAAGTTTATTTTTCTGGTAATTTTAATTGTTTATATAACTGTTTCCTCAAAACACACATGGATACAATTAGTTTCAGGTGAGTAGGATTTATTTTTTGCGTGCAACGAATTGTTGCATTTGTTCTTAGATTTGATAAATCCGCCCAACAGTTGCAATGAACGCCTCTTCACATCAGTGCTACTCGAATTGTCTGATCTCGCGTACCGCCATCTTTTTTTTCCCTAATGTGCAGTAGAATGTTGTTACAGGCTTCAACACGTTTGATGAGATTTTATATGCCCCTGGTATATTTGACCCCCAAACAATTTTGTTGTCTCGTGGAAGTCCAAAGGAAAAATAAGACACAGAATGTGAACAAAGAAATATTGACAAATATATTGATAGGGCATTTTACAAAAGGAAAAACAAGAAATGAAATTAAATGTGAAGAGTTTCAAAGCAACCTTCAATGTCTGTATTTGAATTTTGCGGTAGCGAAAAGAATATGTCTTTTCACTCTGAAAATTCACCGAGAAAGAAGGGGATTTTTTCAAATCTCGCATCACTTGTAAATATCGTCAGGGGGCGGTAATTTAAAATCTCACTGCCTGTGATTATCATCAGGGGCAGTAATCCAGCAATGTTTATGCCAAATTATAATTCGTACACGATCAATAAAATATTGATTCAATATTCGTTGTAACGTTAATCTATATCGGAAAAATATAATAAATACAGTGGGGGAAATAAATATTTGTACACATGAAAAATTGTATTTTTATAAATGTAAAAGCCTTAACCAAAACAAATTTTGATACATTTTATGTGTAAAGATACATTTTATTAAAAAATAGTAATAAACTTAATTCTTATTCTAACAGAAATTAATGCATTTTTTTTCATTTTAACTGATGAAAAAAGTATTCGTACAAAACAAAAAAAAAAGCATATTAACTTAATTTAATACTTTGTGAAATATCCTTTATTGAGTTCAACAGCTACCAGTCTATTCCTGTACATCTCAACTAATGATTTGCACACATTGAGTGGTATTTTGTCCCATTCTTCCTGGCATATTGTCTTCAAATTCTTGATATTTGTTGGTGCTCTTTTCCCAATTTGAATTTTCAAATATCGCCATAAATTCTCGATTGGGTTCAAGTCTGGGGACTGACTTGCCCATTGCAAGACATCAACGTTACTTTCAGCTAACCATTTCCTTGTAGATCTAGCGGTATGCTTAGGATCATTATCCAGTTGGAAAACCCAATCAGGAGGTAGCCGAAGTCTCTCAACAGAACGCATTAAACTGTCTTGCAGGATTTTCTGGTAGCTTTCGGCATTCATCTTGCCATCTATTATTGATATTCTGCGAACACCTTTTGCAGAAAAACAGCCCCAGATCATGATACTGCCACCACAAAACTTTACAGTTGGTAACGTGTTCTTTGGTAAGTAGGCTTCCCCGTCCTTCCTCCACATATGATTTCGATAATTATGATCAAACAACTCTATTTTAGTTTCATCTGTCCATAGTACTTTCTCCCAAAACGAATATTCTTTATCCTTATGCTCTCTAACGAATTTTAGCCTCGCATCTCTGTGTCGTTTCAAAAGGAGTGGAGTCTTCCGTGGGATGCGTGATTTCAGACTGTTTTTGTGTAGTTCATTATTTATTGTACGCTTGGTTACTTTAATCCCTAATGCACGCAGATGTTCCTGCAGCACTTCTCGGATAACCTGTGGATTTTGTTGGATCTAGCGTCCTAATATCCTTGCTGATCTTAGAGAAATCTTCCTCGGAGCACCTGTTCGTCTTTGGTTTTCGACGTTGTTACTAGTTTTAAATCTTGCAATGAACGAAGCAATTGTAGTAAAAGGAATATTCAGGTTGTTAGAAATAATTCTGTAACTGTTCCCATCTTTCCAAAGAGACAAAATGTGTTGTTTTTGTGAAATAGTCAATTCTTTACCTTTAGGCATTATTAGAACCTTCTCGTAAGACTAGAAATTGCAGAATGCTCTGATAATGGCTAATAGCGTTAACTATAATTACTGATAATATTACTGGAACATTCTAGAATATACTTTTTTCATAATTAATTGATTATTTTATTCTAATAATTGATTTGTACGAATACTTTTTTCACCAGTTAGAATTTTAAAAAATGCATTAATTTCTGTTAGAATAAGAATTAATTAAGTTTATTATTATTTTTTAATAGTATGTGTCTTTATACATAAAATGTGCCGCGATTTGTTTTATTTAAGGCTTTTACATTTATAAAAATACAGTTTTTCAAGTGTGCGAATATTTATTTCTCCCCACTGTATATTAAAAGTTAATTTTTTAAATTATTTGTACGATTGGGTTTAGTTTACTTCATACTTCGGGGTAGGCTATTTTATATGACCTAATATAAACTGCACATCCAATTTATATACACTTTTACTTCAGTATCACTGTTTTTATTAATAACAGGTTTATGTGATGACTGCAGTTTACAGACTGATAATAAGAGTTGATATGAACTCAGTAAACAATAATCAGAGATCTATATTTCTAAAAGGGAACCAATATTGTTCAATACCCGGAGAGTAAACTTAAACAGAGGGCAAACTTGTTCATAATAATTCGTTTGCTTGGTTCCCAATATATGACTATTTGTACCTAGTCAGGTATTCTGCATTATTCTGTGTAGTTTGCTACATTCACTGATTATTTGGTTTACTAACATCTACTTTTTTTTCTGTTTTATCAACGTTTTCCTTAACTAGAATGTCATTTGAAGTCTCTTGTCTTTCTTTCTTTCTGTGCCGTGTCCCTTCATGACATATGCGATCATGGCTCTCCACAACTTTCTGTCCTTTGTGGCTCTTAATAACCCTTGTCCTTCTGCTATTTCCCCCAAGCCCTGTTCCGCCATTTATTTACTCAAGCTCATTAAATATGCTATGCGTTGTCGTCTTCTGTGCTCCTATATGTCCTGTGGGTATCAAATTTCCAAGCCCCCTTTCCTCATTATATGCCTTAGAAACCTCAACTGTCTCTTCCTGATGTCAAGTATTAGTTTCTTTTTTGTTTCCATTTTCTCCAAAACTTCGTCGTTACTCACATGTTTTGTCTACGGTATTCTTGGTATCCTCTTATAAAACGACATTTCTGTTATATCAAGTCTCCTCTTCAGCTTTGTGGTCTCTAGTCTACAAACTTGTAATAATGGCCGATATGAAGTCATTCAATAGTAATTTTTAATTTCTAGAGGCACTGAGCACTTTAGGTTTTTGCTGAGGTAGGTGTCTTTTTACTTTTGTTCTTTCTTTCTTTCTTTCTGTTGCTTTAAAAAAAAAAATTTCCTGGTTTCTTTTTTTGTTTTCTTTTGTTGTTCCTTTCATTTTTATTTTCCTTTCGGTAGGGTTGTTCTTTAAAGGTTTAACAATAAATTGGTTTATATATATATATATATATATATATATATATATATATATATATATATATATATATATGTATATATATATATATATATATATATATATATATATATATGCTAGTGTATTTTTTCATTCTTTTCATTCATACACGTTTCATTAAATAATATAGACAAGTGATGTCTATTTATTTTATGTAAATTTTTTTCGTAACATCTGATAAGTTTAATAACATTATCGTTGAACGAAGAAAGAAATTCACAATAGTGATCCATATTTTTATGCTTAGAAATCATCTATGTAAACATTGTCAGACTGTCATCACTGTCGTGTCCGTATATTGTTTAATATGTTGTAATTGACATTTTTGATAATGGCTTATGTAAGCCGGAAGCTTAGATTGTATTTAAAAAAATATGGATCAATATTGTGAATTTCTTTCTTCGTTCAACGATAATGTTATTAAACTTATCAGACGTCACGAAAAAATTTACATAAAATAAATAGACAACACTTGTCTATATTATTTAAGGAAACGTGTATGAATATATATATATATATATATATATATATATATATATATATATATATATATATTATTAAAAATGGACAAAGTCCGACAATTATTTAAGACATTTTTTAGTTTATATTCTTTTTTTAGATACAAATATTTAAGTAAATGTTCTCTATATAATAAACAGTGTTAAACAACATTTACCGGCCTGAAAATTTCTTGGAAATTCAAGCCGGTAAATGTTATTAATACTGTTTATTATATACAAAACATTTACTTAAATATTTGTATCTATAAAAAAGAACGTATAAACATAAAAAATATCTTATATATATATATATATATATATATATATTATATATATATATATATATATATATTCAGACACATACACACACACACACACACACACATATATATATATATATATATATATATATATATATATACATATCTAGTGCACAATAAAATTCAAAATTACCTCATATGGGGAATACGCCTATTTCAACCGATGGAAAAAAAAAAGAAAAGCTGTCACAGTTAAATTTCTAATTCCGACACGAACTCAGTCTGTACCGGAGATGGATTTTTCGTCGGTTAAAATAGGCCTATTCCCCATATGAGGTAATTTTTTTTATTTTATGGTGTACTAATTGTTTGCTCAGTATAACAAAGAGAGAGAGAGAGAGACAGACAGACAGAGACAGAGACAGAGACAGAGAAATTAATACAAGTAAATGGTTTGTCACCATTCCGACTTCAGAGTTTCGTTGACGAACCCTCCGGGAATCACTCCGTCCACTTGTCAGGGGGTATCACCAACTGACGTCGTATAATTCTCGATTTCTTTTCATATGCACATTTTTCATATAAAGATATATATAGATCGAACTAAAATTCATTATAACAACAAGTCGGCTACTTCATTTTTGCCTTTTGCGAGTGCCAGGGTTATTGAAATAGTGTACAGAGTGATTGCAATAGCCAGGTTTAGCCTGTAAGAGTCACAACTATGCATGTGGAGAATACAAAACTTAGGGATGCTCAATCCGGAACAGGGCGTAGTCCGGAACAGGGCGTGGCCAGGTCCTTTTGATTTATATTTATTATAAATCCGCCAGTAAATTTAAATGCACCAGAAAAGAAAAAAAATATACACTGTCCCTTAAACCTAAATAATATAACATTAATTTAATGTACCAAGAAGTGAAGCTTCCCGTGGATAATGATAGAAATATATTTAAAAAATAATTTGGTTGACGCCTCCGTTCAATACGGCAGAAGCAACCAGCATCAGCAAATCATTTTAAATCTGTTATACAGATATTATCACCTCGTATCTAAGCTAATTAAAATTTTCAATAAAAACGCTGTCAAATTAAGTTGTATTATAGCTGTATATCAAGTATAGCTAGATTGATTAAAAGGCAAATGCGTAATTTATTAATAGCAGAAAAGAATATGTGCAACCTAGTTGTAATTACAGCAACAAAATCAATTGCCCATTAGAAGTGAAATGTCTAGGTGAAAATATAATTTATAAATATAAGTTATAACGCATGGTAAATAGGCAGAGTGGAAAGATTTATATTAGGTCGACTGAACCACCGTTCAAGCAACGATATAGCAGTTATAAAATGTCCCTTATGACGGAAATATATAAATACAAACATTAACGAGTTAAGTAAAAGAGATTAAAGAAAAGTATGGTGTATGCCCCTAAATTAAGTGGGAGATCTGACAATTGCAATATATCCAGAGTTAAGGTATTAAATGGTAGATCAGAAGCGTTATCAAAGCGTTATTAAATTTTTCAGTGCAGGATGAGTTTATCGACAATCTGTACTGTATTCTTTCAGGGAATCGCTTAAATAATTTGACTGTTCTTAACATTTATATAAACCAATTTATTTTTTCGCTTCCTTAATATGATTAAGTTTTCCTATGTGTCATTTCAAATATATTTCTAATTATATTAATATGTAGTAATACTAGGGAGATCAGTTTATTACTTGATAACAATAGAAAACCGATCACCCACTTGATTTCCAGTAGTATCTCGTATCAATATGAGTTTACCTATGCTATAATAATGCCAGTCTTTTTAAAGCTTTTACTATAATTAGGTTTTCTTTAAATAAAGTGGAACCTCGGTTCACGAATTTAATTCGTTCCTGCAGTTCGTCCGTGTCTCGAAATGTTCGTAAACAGAAACTCTTTTCCACATAGGAATCAAAGTAAAATGGACTAATACGTTCCTGAACCCCAAATGATTGCTTATTTAAACTTTTACAACTGTACTTTGTGCACAAGTTCAAACACAAAACCAACGAAAATCGTTAAATAAAAATAAAACAACTGATAAACACAATACGAAACAGATAAAATGAACAACTTTTATCCTTGCCTGGACTGTGGAGATTTGATGGCATAAGTGGGAGGTTGTGACGAATCGTGGGGTTGATTTTATTGTTTGTTCCAAAAAGAAAAAAAACAGCAGCTAACTGTTTTCTTGGGGTCCCTCTTTTTTCTTTTTCTATCTGCACCTTTCGATTCTGCTTGAGTCTCACTAGGCCTGTCTTACTTAAAAATTGTCCAATGTGATTTGTTTTTGTTTACGTTTGAAAATGTTTCCAAAGTAAGTAAGACATGGCCCTGACACTGAGAATGTTTCTACTGCGGCCCTCTCATACCTGCTTTACCAGGGGTGATCTTTGCACCTCGTCCCACTTTGTACACATTTCGCCGGCTTACGTGTCCATCGAGCGAGACACTGTTTGTTATCCCAGTTGTTCGTGAACTGATTTGTTTGTGATGAGAGGTTTTCGTGACCCAAGGTTCCCCTTTATATAGAATTGGGTGTTCAATTTTGAAATGTTAGCCGATTCGTCGGTTTTCACAAATACGATATTTGACAAATTAATGGTTTTTAAGTTTTTGGCCAATTTTGTTTGGACATTCTTACTTTTAAATTTGATTTCTTTAATCAATTTTTTTTTTAATATTCTACTCCAGGCAGGGCAATAAAGCCACTAAGGTGGAAGGAGTTAGTGAGTGTTAGAGAGTGCGTGAAAAAGAAAAAACACTATTAAGGAGAGAAAATAGTAAAAGAACAAGAATCAAGAAGATGGTAGATAACCATTGTCATTGCATTTAAATTTATGAAGATCAAAGTTAACTGGGAAACAACACGCTGGGCAACAATCTGCCACTCGGTGGCATGTCACTAGCGTTTACTACTGGTGGCCGCTGTCGGACCGCCGACCTGTTCCTCTCAGCAATGTTACCACTTGCAGACCGTTAGTGACCCACCGTTGGACCGCCGGTGGACATGCAATCAGAGGACCACTGGCTTCGCCAACGGCGGCCCTCCGGTGGCTGGCACCAGAAGACCGCTGGCTTTGCCATCGGCGGCTCGCCAGCGGGCCACTAGCGTCCTCCGTATAGGGGCATGAACGAGGAAATTAAATTGCTTTCAAGTGAAACTAGTCCATCAGACAGAATGCTACTTACTTTTTCAAAAGTTAAGATGGTCGATGAACACCAATTTCTCGAGAAGAAAATACCTTTCATCTTCAGTTTTGCTTCTTAAACAGTTTTGTATTCAAGCTGGTTCCGTACATTCATAAAGGAAATCCTTATGTCAATATGTTCCATCACATTTTCATTCTAATTAATGTTTTACAAGAATTTCTTTCATCTTGTTTTTATTGCTTTTTATCGCAACGTTCATGTCTTTAAATTTCAAGTCCATGCTGCTTACTTAATTGTTGTAGAAATAAAAAGGCATTGTAAATGGACGTAATAGCCTTAGGTGGCCTGAATTTCTTTGATGAATTATTTACATTATTATTAATTTTTGACTAGTTTTGCTTTCACCATATTTTCTTGGTTTTTATCGCAACTTTAGAGCATTTTATTTCCAATCTATGTTGGTTATACATGCAGTCGTAGATATAGAAATGCATATCAAATAGTCGTAAATATAGAAATGCATATTAAATAGTCATAGTAGTCTTAAGTTGTCCGAATTTTTAATTATTTATTCTGAACTAGTTTTTCTTTCATCATATTTTTGTTGCTTTTTTTATTTCCAATATAGAAAAGATATAGAAGGCATAGGGAGAATAATTGGTTTGAAGATCGCATTGAAGTGTGAAACTGGCAGTCACCATGCGGTATTGATTCCTATGACTACACTATCTATATCTATAAACGCTCTTTCTAATATATTAAACATTCTTCTACTGTAAATATAGCAAAGTTTAACAACACATGCAGACATGTACACATACCTCTCTATAAAGTTTACAGTATCTTGTGTTGGTTGGGTTTGGGGCAATGAGGTAGGGAGATTTGGAAAATATGATACCCACAAGACAGATTGAAGGAAAAAGGGACAGAGAAAAGCAGCGCTTACCATTCTTGATGAGCTTGTGTAAATGGCTGGTACAACAGGGTTTGGGAGAAATAGAAAAAGACAACAAAGAGTTACAAGGAACAGGAAGAGGTGGAGGGTCATAATCGCCTACGTCCTGAAAGGACACTGCGCATAAAAAAGAAGGCTTGTGTGTTTATTTATTTATTACGACCTAGCAAACTTTGCAGGTTATTTAAAGCCAGAGAATATTTTAGATTGTAAGAAGTTGAGGGATTTGATAACGACTAATACAAGTCTTACTAATTAACCCATAGCTCGGGGAAGAAGGGGTGGATTAATGCCTTTTTCAAGGATATTTGTGCAAAAGTGAAGATAACGAACCCTACTGTAACTGGAACTCGACTCTCAGATTTCCAATTCCGAGCATATCCAAGCTTACAATACCTGCTATTCCCAAGCCGTGGGCCATTTAGGTACTATCAAGGTTCGACGTTGCTTAACTTCGGTGATCGTACAAGAACCGGTGCTTCAACGTGATATGGCCGTAAGCTCTAGACCCGATGGCCTATTATGCCTGGAACGTTGTTAAGAGTGACACCAACAAACATGTCCACGATGCCAAGGGCTCGATGAAGGCTGCTATCAGTGAATCATGGCCAACATAAATAAAGAACACCTGATCAATGTAATCGTTTTAGAAGCCCCATCAAGGGCCTAATCGAAGTTGATGGCGGTTATATTAAATAAACTTGTTTTGCGTATATATGTATAAATAAATGTACTAATTACTATAAAAAATATATTGTTTTCTTTTCCGAGCCACTATCACATTATCCGCACATCCAACTTGACAGCAGCTGGTATTCCGAAGCAGCCCCCATCTAGATACTGTCAAGGTTCGACGTTGCTTAACTTCGGCGATTGTACGGGAACTGGTGTTTGAACGTGTTAGGCCATAGGCTGCGTGTGTGTTAATAATATTGATTACATCTTGGTTTATAAACGTGTCTAGTGTTACCGCTTCCGAACGTAAGGACAACTCTAAGAATCTGGTAAAGACAACTTTAAGAATCGATTGATGCTTGTAAATTGAATTTCCATCTCTACAAAGACCGTGAAATACTGAAATAAAGAAAAAACAGACTTCACGTTGCATATGATAATAAAACATTATCTATAATAGCATGAAAATTTAATGGCGACCGATGTGTTCCAACCAACCTTGTGCGCCGTCTATCCAGAATTCCAAAATAGATACAAGACTAGCTAAGGTTCTTTTCCAAAGTGAGACAGCAGAGTTGGTCTAAGACCTGCTAAGTTACTCTTCCAAATAAAGGTACCGCAATTCTTTTTTTGCCTCCAAAATATGGCGGTTACCACGTGACCGGTGCAGATTGAATCGGACAGGAGACAGCTACATCTAGGTAGCCATAGTTCTCCACAGCATCCTCTTTAATATCTCTTAATAGATAATGGCATGGGCCACGTCGTGAGAATCGAAATCGCTATTAACGATCTTCGAGTGAATCTACCGTACAGGACGGTGCCAAGTGTATTTTTCACAGTTTTTGAGAATAAAATTTAAAAAATGTTGAAAGTATCAACAAAATTATATTTCTTCTCACGATAACTTACCAAGGCCATAACTATTTCACCCTGATTTCACAGAGAAGTCATTTAATCTATTCATATATATATATATATATATATATATATATATATATATATATATATATATATATATATATCTTTAAATTTCGATTTCAGATGTCTTCACAGAGATATAAACACGAAGGTCTTACTCCCTTTAGCATATATTACACTTGCGTGTAAGTGTACACATATGTACGCATATATACATTTATACGCATTTCACGAATGACTGGTTTCAACCAAAAGTATAATATTACATATATACAATGTACATTACTGTAATGATTGGATTTCACAAACGAATGTTAGGTGTTTTTTTTTTTTTAATGGTAGATTTAAATTAGATAGCGATTCTATTACGGGTGAGTCATGTTATGCCACATGGCCTACAAGATAAGTCTGGCAGTATTATTACGGGGGAACCTTGTTATGAAATGTTGACTGCAGGAGAAGGTCTGGCATCATGTTTGTTCTGCCATGCCGCGTACACAAGAGTGAATCATACCCATTCTCTTCGTATAATTATAGTAAGTTCCATTCGGACAGCTTCTTTCCAAAAATGCCTACTCGAACAGAACCCCCCTCCGCTAGGATTTTTTCACGTTAATTCTTCCCATAAGCGGCGTATAATAAATTGTCTTTATTATTTTTTTTTTCATCTTAAATATCACCGTAACAAATGATATTCTGACCGTTGTGTATTCAGTAGAATCGAGTGGAGTTTGGGAAAATTTGAGGTCCCGGATCAACGAGCAAAGACTCTGAAAGAGGTGATTGTGGGTATATTCAGGCCTGGAAGCCATATTGTTTCAGAAGCCTGGGCTGCTTATGCTGAAATCGAGGAAATCAACCCCGGGAGAGACACTTATGTTGTTCTTCGGCAACATTTCTGTGGGTCCCGCCGTACAAGAACAGACCCGTGTTTTCAGTATTTATTTGCTATGCTGTCCACCAATACGCGTTGTAATATTTGATTGTAATAAACGTATATACTTAAGTCGTATTGGTTTTACGCCGTTCAGATAACAGCAATTTATTTTACACCGCTTAAGTGAAGGGTCACCGTTTTTGCAATCACTATAATCTCGACCTTTTCAAGTCTAGTGTTAACCATTATCTTTCCTGCATAGCCCACGAACTTCCCTTTTTGTCCTTTCTTACGCTAATACAACACCACACAGTAACCCTCTACATTGAGTGGCTCTTGGGATTTGTACTGGGTGAACAGAAGTATAAAAAAGAAATATAAGAAAAAAAGATCTTACACCTCCTTGTCGCCCTGTTATCTGACTTTCTTTCCTATTGCTAACAGTTTGGGACATTTTTTTATCATGTATGCTCATTTTTTTTAGCGAATCTTTGGAGGTACCTATATTAAATGGAAGAAGCATATGTAAGTCACTCACAACACATACATATGCATATACATTGCATACGCTCATGCAAAGTCAAACGCTGATAGTTTGTTTTTTTTTTTTTTATTGACGATTTGTCACGACTTCCGTGAGGATTTTCAAAACGCAGCACAGGCTTTTGAAAATACGTAAAAGAGCGAAACATCACACGTAAAAAAACTACACCATCAACTGGTTTTTGCATATTCCATTAGATTACTTACATGTGTATTTTTATGGGATTGTTTCGCTGACAATGTATGTCTCGTGTCTGTGACAGCGAGGTATTCTAATTGTTAACACTCAAAATAACAGTAAGTACTAATAAATCCACACCCGCTGGTGGGGGTGGACTTGTTTTCTTTCTTTTATTCTTTGTTGTCTGGTGAGAATTTAAGCAGTTTTGTTCAATTTTTCTTGAGTGCCCTCAGACAAAATATTTTCTTTACAACCACATGTGATAGACAAAAAGGAATTTTTTGCTTGAAATGTGGCATTTTTGAACAATGCGGAGAAACAAATGCTCGACTTTGATTATTGTATCCAATCGCGTATCATGCGACATTTGAAGATTTTATTTTGAAGCTAATTTTAAGGGGGTCACATCATACACGAAATGTAAAATTAGCCGTGACTACGCCGTTGACCAAACTATATATCCATTTACTGTAGTCAAAAAGTACAGCTGTATTTAAAATATAAATGATTTTAATAAAACTGATATTTTACTTAACTGTTTCCAATCATAATGCATGCAATATTCACATATTAATATCGTATTATAAAATACAAACATCTTTCCCATTGTTTACGTTTCTAAGATGTTTAGCTGTTTCTCATTTGGTTGTTTATGGCTGTACACGTTTACAAGAGTATAGCGTTACTAACAATACTTTTATCGTTCTCTTTTACTTTTTTAACTTATTTAACTAGAAGATGAAATAAAGAGATAGAGGAAAGGGGGTCAATCTATTGTAATATGGTCTCTCAAAAAAGGAACTCACATGATATACAAGGTACACGATAAAAATATTTTTTATGAATTAAAATTTAGGTAGGGTGGTAAGATACACGTGATCGTTCGATACACGTATATATATATATATATATATACGGTAAATGTAAAAATAAAATATAATTAGCAAAGAATACTGACAAAAAATTGTTTTATAACCTACTAGCATAATACTCGTAAAAAAATGAAAGGGTTATATTTTTATTAAATGTTCACCCAATACAAGTACCAAGAGCCACTCAATATAGAGTTACTGAATGAATGAGTTACGTGAATGAAGTACGGGTTATGAAGTTATGTAAGATAGATAGCGGTTGACCCTAGACTTGAAGAGGTTAAGATTGTAGCTATTTGGGAAGTATTCTCTCGGGAGTCTGTTTCACAAAGTAGTGGTTCTTGAGAAGAATCTTTCTGAGAGGAACTCCTTTCTTGCCAATGAAATACGAAGGGAATGAGTATGATTTGATACTCTTTACATGGCATGGCACTTCCTAGCTGTAATGGTCTGAACTGGTGTTACTAAGGAATGGAGATCATTTGGACATCTGCCATGGAAATAATGATAAAGTAGAGAGAAACTTAGTTCTAAAGGTTTGAACTGATGGAATTAAGGAATCTAGCTTGCCTAAACATTTGGCAATGACAATATCGATAGAGTAACGATAAGTTTGCGATGTTTCGCCTGTGTCAAAGGAAGTGTACGGTTAAAAAAGTGAAGACAGAGCAATTCCAATGAGGATTGGACAGCTCCACAGGAGTAAAAAAAAATCTATCAGCAAGAGAAGAATATTTAACTATTTTAATAAATGTTATTTTCCTGATGAAATTAGGTAGGCCACTCAGAAAACAGCGCAGTTTTCCTATGACAGTTCTAGAAGTTACGTATACACAACTCCTGAGAGCAGTTGTGAGTAGTATTTCGCCCAGTCAAGAACTATATTAGAAACTGTCAAAAATTATGAACCGAAAAACGTGAGTGTTGCTTAGTCGCCATTGCTGGAGAAGTAAGTGAAGAATTTGTGAATCAGCTATGAAAACCAGATTATGGGAAAGGGCCAAGAAGTAAGTAAGAAACTTTATCAATCATAGATGAAACTGCAATCAGAAAGGAAAAACTAGGTAGAGTTACGGATGATAGAAATGGTGGAAAACGAATTATATTCTTTTTAGGGCGATCATAGAACAATGCAATGTTTGTTCTGTGCGTTTCTTTGCTTCTCTCTCCGTAACTAATGTCAGATTAAAGTGAAGAGAGATGAATCATAACCCGATTCGAACGTACGATCTGTAGATAAGTGAGCAATCGACATAACGCCAGTGATCTGCTTGAAGAACACAATAAGGTTAACAAATAGTAACTTCAGGGCCCTCGTTCGATGGCGTTCCTTCCGAGGATTGGCGGAATGGCGTCTCGATTAAGGGACGAGCCTCGCGAAACGGTGTGGCTCTTGCAGCGTGTCTCACTGGCGATGGTTCGAGGTAATGC